TAAACTACAACACAGAAACTATTCATGCTGTTAACGATCTGACTGCGGCAAGTTTAGTGCAAAAACTTAAGGTTACACTCGCAAGTCCGGTACGTGGCGGCCTGGGTATAGTAGAGAACAAAAAAAACTAATTGACATAGTGGTACGAGAAGCTTTGTAGACTTCAGCATTCTCTGAATTTTAAAGAAAATTTATCTCACACTTTTATTGATAATTGATTCAACTGACTGAACGATCATCATAATGTTGGCGACGCCCATGATGACAGAGCAGATGATGGCAACAATCAGCTCCAGACGTGCTCTCCCTCGAGGATAATTGAACGTGTCCGTGTTGCTGATTGCCCACGTACTGATATAAATTAGCACACCACTGACACAGTCCACCACAGAATCAAGAAATGTGCTGAGGATGAAGCATTATTAAATGAACAGTTTTCTGCTACCTAGCATTTTGGACAAAAATTTACTGAAAACTGAGAGCAGGTGCTGTGAATCTTTGCAAGGTCAAACTTCAGTGCAGATCAATAGGCAAAGATTTCACGATAAGTTATTGTGGTTACCCAGCCAAAAGAAAAAGTCAACAGATACGGGGTTTTACTATGATTTGCCTTTAGAATGTTCAGTGCATGCGAAGGCTCAATAAGCACTAGTTTTCGTTTACACTTCAATAAGATTGTTTCCCTTTCTCCTGCGATACTGACATCTTGAATTTTTTATTTTAAATGCTTTATTATAGGAAGGGATGTCAACAGTGCAATCCTCAAGTACGTTTACTTTATCAACCATAAAATAAAATGCAAAATTTGGTAAATTTTCGAAGTGAATAGTCTAACGGGCGTTTCAGAGTTGCATGAACATGAATTTTTTCCGATGATTCTTCATTTCATTTTTTACCATTCAAAAAAAAAAAATTCAAGGAAGGCTGCTTTTTCAGTCTTTGAGTAAATTTTACCTGATAACAGAAAGTGACCCAGACAGCACAGAAGCGGCTCCGTTCGCAATCAGTAGTACAAAGTTTGTTGCGAAAGTTATTTTTGCCAAAATGCTGTCAATATTTCGCTTCCGATCCGTTGCTTTGGTTATTGCTTTTGCCGCATCAGCATGTGAAACATTTAAATATAGTGCGTCATCACGCTGATACAACGTCTGGAGGCGCTGCTGATAATCGTAATACTAAAAGTTTATCGATAAGGATCAGCCAAAAAATAGCAAGTACTTCAAAATGATTTTCGATTTCTCATGCTTTGCTTTGATAATTCGGTCAACTGCAGTCCACAGAAGATTCGCAGCTATGCAATTGACAGCTTTTTCAAATTCTTTCTTGCTGCACTGCCTGCCGGTTATCCTACTGGCATTCCTGACGCTCCTTTCACCTTCTGCAAAAATTACCAACTCAATGGTTCTTTTGATGTCAAAGTCTTTCTTCGGGATCTTATTAGTATGCGTTGGGCACTAACAACTTGCTCCGAACAATGCCATTCTTCGGTCACAATAAAGTGGCTCACTAAGCAAAAGCTGCATTTTCATAAAATTGGAATAACTGGCCAACGCACGGGCTGCCCGTGCGAAGATGCTTTTTTTGCAGAGTTCCCCGT